TATGATTATTATAGCGACACCGGAATTCTTTCAAACTTCGTATTTGAAATTCGTAATAGGAATTGTCTTTGCAGGTCCAGTTATGGGTATAGCCCCCATATAACGGACCTCTTCATTAACGGTATTTTCATAGCTTTAGCGACATTACTTACCAGAATTGTTTCAAGTTTCGTATTTAGATATCGAAATGGCTTATGACAAAAATTTTAAATTCAGGTAAGCACTTCCGTATAGGCCCCAAATGTAATGGTAACTGCCTATATTCGGTATTTGTATGATTTTAGCAGGATATTTCAATGGATTTTTTTGAAAATCCCTTCGAAATGATGGAATCATTGCATTGTGCTACAAAATGTATGCAGGGTTGCCCATATTCGACGGACCTTTGGGCCCATTCCAATCGACGAGGATTGTCCGCAGGCAACATTCTTTGCGTCAATTGAATTTTGTACGGGAACAAATGCAAATCAATGCGAATAATCCGTTGTAAAGTGGAACGAGCCATGCCCAACTGCTGAGAACGGCGTTTTTGGGATGTTCTTGGGGACCTCTCAACACTGGCTCGTACGGCAGCGATATTCTCGGCCGATCGCCTTGTTCGACTTTTATATGGCCTCTTTGGATTAGAAAGAGCCTTACCACTCGAAAATTGTTCGTATAAACGCTTAATGGTGTTCTTAGAAGGCGTACTTCTCACATTTTTTTGTTTTTAAAGCACGTTGAGTTTTCACAATTGACTTCTTGTAAATTTCAACTATTTCAGAGCGCTCGCGTGGCGTGTATTGGTTCATGGTAAAAATTTGCTTGGACTGACGCTTCAAACGCGGTATGTCATTAAGCGATGTGACATCTGTGTCAAAAGTTATGGCGTTGCCAGATGGGTCCGTCGAATATGGGCAACCCTGTAATTGCAGAACAACATATTATTACACATTTTTTTTGAAATTTTTGGTTTAATATTCCTTGGGAGCTTTCAATTTTTGGTATGTACGTAGTTTCACAATTTTACTCATAGCAATTCGAGGATTATTTAGGTCGAATTTTAATCCTAATGGGTCTTTTTGGTTCCTTTTTCCAATTGTGTTAAAAAACTACTTTTAAAAGGCATCGTATCAAGTCAAAATAATTTGTCATCAAATTCTGCTGTATGTCCCTAATCCAATCTTAACTAAATACCAGAAATTTATAAATATTAAAAACACATTTTAGGGTTAAAGCCGCTCTACTTGTGAGCTTAGGCAAAAATACACAACAAAGCAACATTTTAGAAGGATGGCGTCAGAGACAAAATTATTCTTCATCGAACACCCAATGAAAGGAACTCTCCATTTAAATTGTACACAAAAAAAAACAAATTCACAAACAAGTTAAAAATTATCAGCCAATGTTTTATTATTTTAAAATATTTTGACTTCTGTTAATATTATTCAAATTGTTGACCCTCTATGGAGTAGGTTCCCAAGAAATTCCCTAATATCGGACCTAAATAAATGTGATATAATGTGATTTGGACTATATTGGTTACTTCCTTCATTTTATATGGTACTAGCTGAACCCGGTGCGCTTCGCTACCCCTTTTGATTTTATATGCATTCAAAATTTTATTTACGAATATATGTTGGATAAAGAAAAACAAATTTAAAAATTAAAAAAAAAATATTGCACTAATTTAATGCGTTAATAAACAAAATCATTACAAAAGCAGTAACATGACATGCATACACGAAGGGTTTGTCCTTTAGATTTATTTATTTCATTGCAAATACCAAGCGTGCAGGAAACTGCAATTTTTTTAAGTAGAGTGGCATTTCTATTGCAAGTAGTGAATTTGAGATAGCAACATACTTCGCCGTAATAAGCGTATTTCAAATAAATTGTTGTGTTGTTTTTGAGTGTTAGCCTAAGGCGTTGTGGGTCAATGGTTCTTATTAAAATCATATCCCAATCTGATCCGATTTAAATATAATTTAAAAAAATTACTTTTACACCAAACTCCGCTACACCTTTCATATTTAATTGAAATTGGTGCGTCAAATATGTGAAATCGGCCGAGAATATATATATGGGAGCTATATCCAAATCTTAACTAATTTCCAATTAATTTATCACATTTATTATTATAACAAAATTCCGCCACACATTCTGAATTTCATTGGAATCGGTCATATATATCGTGTTTGGTGCATAATATGTATGAAATCGGCCGAAATATATATGTTAGCTATATCCAAACCTCAACTTATTTCAATATAATTGTGCAATTTTTGCTGGTGCCAGATTTTGTCTCTCTCGCTTTGGGTGCATCAAATATGTGAAATCGGCTGAGTATATATATGGAGCTATAATCACATCTGAGCGTATTTGAATATAATTTGTCAAATGTGCATCAAATATGTGAAATCGGCGGATAATATATATGGGAGCTATATCCAAATCTGAACCGATTTTAATATAATTTGACTAATTTATTTTCTAATCAAAATCCCGTTACATATTCCAAAATTCTTGGAAATCGAACATACATATCGTGTATGATGCATAAAATACTTGAAATCGGTCGAAAATATATATGAGAGCTATATCCAAATCTGAACCGATTTTAATATAATTTGACAAATGTATATTTGTTTTAATTTCCGCTACACATTTCAAATTTCATTGAAATTAGAGATACATAGCGTGTTTGGTGCATCAAATACATGAAATCGGTCGAAAATATATATGGGAGCTATATCCAAATCTGAACCGAATTCAATATAATTTGAAAAATTCATTTTTGCTCCCGATTCCGTTACTTATTTTAAATTTCATTACAATTGGAAGTACATATCCTGTTTGGTCTACCAAATACATGAAATCGGCCGAAAATGTATATGGGAGCTATATCCAAATCTGAACCGATTTCAATATAATTTGGGAAATAAATTTTTTAGATAAAATCTATCACACGTTTCAAATTTCATTGAAATTGGGGATACATAGCGTGTTTGGTGCATCAAATGCTTGAAATCGGCCGAAAATATATATGGGAGCTATATCCAAATCTGAACCGATTTCAATATAATTTGACAAATTTATTTTCGGATCAAATCCCGTCACATATTCCAAATTTCATTGGAATCGAACATTCATATTGTGTTTGAGGCATCAAATGAACGAAATCGGTCGAAAATATATATGGGAGCTATATCCAAATCTGAACCGATTACAATATAATTTAGCAAACTTATTTTTGTTCCAAATTCCGTTACACATTCCAAATTTGGAGACTGTATCTTTAACCGATCAATAGATATGTGCATATAAAATCTAAATTTTTGGGAGGTACCTCCGATTCTGATGCTATATCTCCAGTTCCAAGTGGAAATTCAAAAATTTATATAGCCTATGTTACTTTCAGGCGATGTTGCAGTATATATGGAAATTTTCAGAAAAATCTATTCAGCAGTTTTCGAGTCCATAATTTACAAACAAACAAACAAACAAACAAACAAACGTACAAACATTTTCCTCTTTTATAGATATAGATACGTGATAATTTTTAGAAAATGCTCAAATGTGCGTCAAGTACCAAGTCAAGTCGACCGAAGTATTCCATTTTCATACTTCATCTAATAGAGATAAAAATATTGCTATGGGCAAAATTATAAAAAATTTAACATTTCTATCCAATTTTATGAGAAACCATAAATTCCATATTCATCTCAGGTTTCTGGTTGAGAGAAATATATAGATGTAGCAAGAGATATATATAATCTTCACAACAGGTCTTGTATTAGCAAAAATGTCTGTTTGTGTGAAATTTGAAGAGAGGATGCTTATTTCGCTTTTTTGAGCGTTTTGTTTTACAAATCATGAACAATATGTGGGGCAGGTACAAGAAGAAAGGGTCCGATTTCTTCCATATATATATAAGATTATGTGTCTATGGAAACATCGAGATGTACCAAGTCTAAATGAAATCGGATATTTCGCGTTTTATGAGCTTCATGTATATTCAAAATGTTGACCATATGTGGGGGAGGTACCAGAGGGAATGGACCGATATATTTCATCTTCATACAAGACCATGGGTTATTAAAAATATGATGACGTATGTAATTTGAAGGCAAACGGAATTTTACATCACATTTTGTAAGAGTTATAATTACTCAAAATATTGACCCCTTGATGGAGTGGACCTATATTGTTCATCAGTGACCTGAGCACTGATGCAAACATTAGGATTTGCAAAGATGGAGCAAAATTAGATTATCTTTTCTCTTCCTGTACAGTAAAATATTAGTCCTAAAAATGTTGACCCTTTGTGGGGAATGTAGCAGAAGGAGTGGACCGATATTGTCCATCTCCGAATTTTGTCTAAGTTTGAAAATAATATTACGATGATGTATGATTGGACCAAATCGGATACTCCCTTCGAGAGTTATCGTGCGCACCAGACCGTAGACAGACAGACGGACGGACGGACGGATGGTTGGACATCGCTTGATCGACTCCAAATGTCCTGAAACGAATTTGGACTTAGGGTCTAAAACCGTTATTTAGATGTGCCGTTATTTGGCACATTCGTATTTGAAGTTCCTAATGGGAACTACAGTCTATGACAGAAAATTGCCTATGCAGGTCCTTCGTATAGGCCCTATATATAAGTACCTCCCTTTATTCTGTATTTTGATGATTTTAGGTACATTATTCATCGGATTTTTTTTCAAGTTTCGTATTTGAATATAGTAATGGCCTATGATGAAATTGCCTATGCAGGTCCACTTCTTCGTATAGACCCCAATATAACGGCTAAATTCGGTATTTTTTACGATTTTAAGAGAATTTTTAACGGATTTTATTTTTTTAAAAAAATTGCAAATTCGTTCCAAATGGTGGATGGTATTCAAAGTTCAGCCCGGCTGAACTTACTGTTTTTTTCTTGATATTTTTTTCAGGTTGGACAACGAGAAATATTTGCTTAACAATTTAACTATTTTTCATATTTTTCTTTTCAGGTTTATCGATGTGCTACCAAAGACTGTCCGGCAATCCAAATCACAATAATGTGGATCAGAAGCCAACGCACTTACCACCGGGTCACTATTCCCATAGTCACAGATGGAATGAACCCTATTTCGATGTGACAATGCCAAAAAATATCACTTCACTTGTGGGGAAGTCTGCCTATTTGGGGTGTCGAGTTAAGCATTTAGGCAATAAAACGGTAAGTTCATAGTTAATTCTTTAAATCCTTGAAAACCCATTATCTTTATGCCTCCAAAATACGCTTATATTATTACGTTGAACTAAGCCAGTAATTGATAATAAAATCCAACCAGCTTAAGGAGCTTATTTTAATAAAGGCTTAAATTCTAAATGCCATTAATCCTTAGCAAATAATTTCAGAGATTTTAAATTACTTTTTTTTCATAATATTTTCCGATAATTGAAAAAGAAATAGGATTTCCTTATTCATGTAAATAATTTTCTTCATTTGCATAAGTACATTTGTAGAAAATGCAATCATTTTCCTTCCGAAACATAGCAAAAAGAATACAGAGAAATGAAAATTTAATTAAAATATAAGATAAGGTAACAATGATAACGAGATAACTATAGAAAAACAATTCCAACAAAAATTGCAAATTGATTAGAAAACAAAGAAACATATTTTCCTAAATTAAGTTTCATGAAAACTTAATCTCGATTATGAATAGATAGGTATTTTTTTTAATTTTATCAAAGAAAAAAAAAAAAAACAAATGTGGGAAACGGTAGCTTGCGTAACCATCCTGGGAACTGAAATTAAGAAATTTCGATTCTCAATGAAGCTAGATATACTATATGTTAATATTAAATCGAATAACAATATAACATCGGGAATTTATGTGAAGTAGATAATACCAAGTATGAACCGAATTTGAATGCGTATCATGCAGTCACAATTTGAGAACTATATCCACCTTTGAATCGATTTTCAACAAATATTACGGAGGCGTTTGTACCCCTATTACCAAAAAAACATTGTTGTATAGTGTATGATTATATTAAACAAGTAAGCAAAGGCTATTGTCGTGCGGGCCGACCATTTGATACCCTACAACACTACAATACGTTAGAAGTCCCTTTATGCCTAAATCCACTTTGGAAGATTTCGCTTTTGAAATTATGTCACGGAGCACTGACCAGATATTACCCTTAGCATTTTGAACAGGGACATTTGGCCAATATTTACACACTCCGCCGTGCTGTTAATTGCTGTGGTCCATATTATAGCTAAATATAATCCAGTGGTCATCTAAAATTCTTCCCTGTCTTTAACTCTCTTTTTAAGCGTGTCAATTGGCTTCAATTGTGTGATCAGGAATTTTTTTCTGTTTTTGGTCCATTTAAACACCCAAATATATTGCGGATATCTTTGAAAACAATAGGCTTAGCCCTTCTAAGCCTAACCTACCCTTTAAAAATGTTCGTGAGGATCGGACGATAATTGCAATCTGCATATAATAACCCTAACCTGTGTTGTAAGGTGAATAAATATTACAAAATATGCACTTCAATGTTATAAGTCAAATTAAAAAAATCGCATGCGATAAAAAATATGAAAAAATAAAAAAAATTCACAAAATACTATAAAATCTATATTAACATCATTATTGGCATCTTTTTATGCGATTTTTTCAGATTTTATTCTTTTATGCCAATCCCCTTCTTTTGTATATACATATTGTATATATTTCGCTATATATTCGATATATTTACTATCGGCGTCTACGTAACGTTCAGGATTAAAAATATTCGCGGTTTAATGGAAAATTTGACTTTTATTCAACACAAATATTATGCTCTATTTCACCCACTAAATATTACCCGATGACCACCAAAATTGGAAGACTTTGCCCAGCCCTAAGCTCTAGCCCCATGCTACATTCGGCGTTGATTGGTCTATAATTGTGACCTGTAGATCAACTGCAAAATCAGGAAAAATCTCAGTTTTTGGTCCATTTCGACCCCTACATATTTTGGGATCATCTCCAAAAGCAATAGGGTTCTATTCTGGTTATAGCCCCACCTCCATTCTAAATTTCGTGAAGATCGGGTCATAATTGCGACCTGTAGAGTGATTGCAAATTAACATGGACAGACGGACAGACGGACAGACGGACGGACGGACATACATAGCTAGACTCAGCTCGGCGAGATAGGAAGATCCATATATACTTTCCTATGTGGAAAACCAATATTTCGTGGTGTTGCATAATTTTTGGCCCTTTCAAACTTATAATACCCTCAACACATAGTGTTGTAGGGTATAAAAATATTTATTGGAACAATTGATATACCGGACCGAGTTTCACCATATGGAAAAATTCAGCTGACTATAAAAAAAAAATCTATCTAATTTGGGCTGATATTAAATATATGGTGAAGAATAACCGTAAAATCAGATGAAGGTGTATATTGAAGGTATATACAAATTTGAAACGATCTCGATAAAATTTGGCAGAGGTGTTTTCGATCTGTATCTGATTTCCGGTATGCAAAATCATTGTTGTGGAGTGCATATTACGCATGTATGGGACTTAAACCCCAAATCGAATGAAACATATATGTGAAAGCTATAGCTATATCTGAATTTCACCAAAATTTAAAGTACTTGGTTCTAGGCTGAATTTCGTCGGAAGTGCCAAAATTCAGTTCATTTGAGCTGATATTAGCCATTCGGTGCACATTAAAACTGATATCGGATAAATATATATATAGGAGCTACATTCAAATCTCAATAGATCTCGACAAAATTTGACAGAGGTAAATTTGAGCTCCATAAGTAATCTGGTACCAAGGATCATTGTTTTGGAGTGCATATTACGACTGTGAGGAACCAAATCGGATGAAGCATATATATAGGAGCTTTAGCTACATCTGAACCGATTTTCGCCAAAAATTGATGTACCTGCTTCTGGGCCGAATTCGGTTGGATGTGCCAAAATGTAGGTCATTTGGACTGGTACTGGTCATTTAGTGCACAATTAACCCGAAATCGGTCGAAGATACTTATGGGAGCTATATCCAAATCTGAACCGATCTCGATAAAATTTGGCAGAGGTATATCTGGGCTCTATCTGATATCTGGTACCAAATATCATTGTTGTGGACTGCATATTAGGCATGTGAAGGACTTTAAAACCAAGTCGGATGAAATATATATACTTTGTGACCTTCAGCTATATCTGATCCGATTTCACCAAAATTTGAAGTACTTGCTTTTGCGCTGAATTCCGTAGGAAGTGACACAATTCAGTCCATTTGGACTGATATTCGCTATTTGGTGCACAATAAACCTGTAATCTGATAAAGATATATATGGAAGCTATATCCAAATCTGATATTGTTTGGAAAATTGCATCGCAATCGGATATATGTCCTGCATTTTTTTACAAAAATAAATGGACAGACGAACAGATGGACTGACATGCATAAATAAATCGGTTGAGAAAGTGATTCTATGAAGATCCTCAAAAGTAACTATTGGTCTATTTCGCTTCTTGCTCCATGTTACAAGCAAATGCACAAAGACATAATACCCATACCACTCACTATGTGATGTAGGGTATAAAAACAATTGCAAGTGTGCGATAGCATGAATTATGAATCATATGTAAAATGGCAATTTTGACATACACATGGATAAAAAAATTGACGTCACATGTGTAAAACCCTTGTCGTCTAATAGCAGTTTAATGGGAAAAACATATCTAAAAACATATCCAAATCTAAGCCCATTTTCCCAACATTTGGCTTACTAAACTCCAAGCGGAAGTCAGTTGCGAAAAATTCAAATTCAAAACACATCCCATTTGTTGTATCTAAATCTGGATCTATTGTCATCAAATTCCATAGAGATCTTCCTTGGGTCAAATAAAAAAACTCTGCAAAAATTTATCGTAATCGGACAATATAAACGGCCGGTATTTTAATTGATTTATGAAATTACAGTGAAATATTAACACTACCTTATTTGTTATCGATTTAAACAGATTATGCCATATTAAAGGGAAAATGTATGCCAATTTTCTGGCTACACAGGGTGAGATGAAAAAACTGCAACCAACTTCAGACTGCTGTCATTTCTAAGCCACTCGTCCGACAGCTGTTAAAATTATTCCAGTGACAGCTCATTATACTGTTTACAAACATACAAAAGCATTTTAGTGAGAATTTTCTAGAAAAAAGTTATTCGTGAAGGAATTCAAGCGTGATAGTGTGATTTCTTCATATTTGGCTGGAAACCACAAGTGGCTATCGTTAGAGCACTCCAGCATTTAAATGTGAAAAAATCTTTTCTGTCTCGTATCGACGTCAAGGAAGTGGACGGAAGAAAACAGCAACATCAGCAGAAATGGTTCGAAGAGTAAAGAAGCGACTTAATCGAAACCCGCGTTGCAGTGGCCGAAAAATGGCTCATGAGCTGAACATATCGCAATATTCCATTCGCAAATATTGAAAAATGAGCTCGAGGTAAACCCATTAAAATTCCAAAAAGTGCACGAACCTACACCGCATCAGAAAGAAAATAGACTCAAAAGAGCTAAAGAGTTGCTTCGCTTGGCCGAAAGTTGTGAATTGCCGAATTTGGTTTTCTCCGATGAGAAAACATTCGTTGTTCAGCAGTTTGTAAACAAATAAAATGATCGTGCCAAAGAGGTCAGCTGAAAATGTCCCCCTTCGGTTGGCCACCCAAGAGCCGGCCATGGTGATGGTGTGGACCGCCATAACAGCCGACGGTCGCTCTCCGCTCATATTAATCGACCGAGGCATCAGAATAAATGCCGAATATTATCGCGAAAATATTCTGAAGGGTGTATTAAAGCCTTGGGCACGCAAACATTTTTGCCGCAGACCTTGGACATTCCAACAGGACGCAGCACCATCGCACTTAGCCCGCGCCACCCAAGAATGGTTACAAAATTAGATTCCTCGCTTCATTTCCAGCGCACAATGACCACCAAAATCTCCGAATACCAATCCGTTGGACTATTGTGTCTGGAGTATTTTGGAAAGCAAGGTTGGCACTAAAAAATACCAAAGTGTCGATCACCTCAAGCAAGCGCTTCGCCGGGAATGGGCCAAAATACCGCAGAGCAACATTCGGGCAGCGTGTGACGGTTTCATAGGCCGTTTGAAAGCCATAATTCGTGCCAAAGGTGACAAATTCGAAAAAAT